CACACACACACACACACACACACACACACACACACACACACACACACGGGTTCTCACTATGTTATCCAGGCTAGCCTCGAACTCCTGGGCTCAAGCTATCCTCCCATCTCAGCCTTCTGAGTAGCTGGGATTACAAGTGTGAGCCACCATGCCCAGCTACATGTCTCACTCCCCTGTACATTTATTTCAATTTATGCCTCAGGGGCACTTTTCTGGGTTGATGGAAATGTTCTATGTATTGTTTAGAGTCGGGGTTATATGGCTTCCAGTCATAGACTTAAAATCTGTGCATTTGACTGTAAATTTTACCTATGAAAAAAACATGGCATGAACCTTTAGAGTTACTTATAAACATTTAAGACTGAACGTTAAAGCTGCAAATGTCAGAGCTATTGTATGCAGTGTATATTTTTCCATTGCACTTGATAAATGTTACTTTGTTATTTGTAGGTTATCATATGTATTTAAACCAGATCTAGACCTTTATAAATTGATTTTGTCTATTGATAATGTAGTATGGTATTCATAAAATCATAAACCATTTTATTAAAAATTACTGTGATGTTTTAGATATTTTTATGTTTAAAAATTCTACATCTAAAATTTCCAGTTGTAACATTTTTAAAGTAACTCACGTCTAGAGTAAAACTTTGGCTCCTTCTCTGACCATTCATATTTTATTTTGGGTTTTGGCAAACCTTGCTTTCTTATTTTAGGTTCTTAAAAACCAGCATTTTAATATTTTGATAATGAGGAATCCACAGTATGCATTGGGCATAAGCTCTTGAAAATAGTGCAGTATACGAAAATATCTTTTTTTTTTTTTTTTTTTTTTGAGACGGAGTTTCGCTCTTGTTACCCAGGCTGGAGTGCAATGGCGCGATCTTGGCTCACCGCAACCTCCGCCTCCCGGGTTCAGGCAATTCTCCTGTCCCAGACTCCTGAGTCGCTGGGATTACAGGCACACGCCACCATGCCCAGCTAATTTTTTGTAGTTTTAGTAGAGACGGGGTTTCACCATGTTGACCAGGATGGTCTCGATCTCTTGACCTTGTGATCCACCCGCCTCGGCCTCCCACAGTGCTGGGATTACAGGCTTCAGCCACCGCGCCCGGCCTGAAAATATCTTTTTTTAAAAGAGATCTAAAATTCTTCCTCTCTCCCCCAATAGTAAATACATGAATATGTCAGATTAATATTATGGGAAGCCAGAAGAGAGCTGGGGCTTGGGAGATGTTTTTTCACCTACTTTCCATTTGTAATTTTTTAGGTACAGAACTGGAACAGTGAAATTCTTGCTAAGCAAAAACCTCTTATTGCCAAACCTTCTGCAAAGCTACTCTTTGTCAACAGACTGAAGGGGAAAAAATACAAAACTAATTCCTCCACTAAAGTTCTCCAAGATGCCAGTAATTCTATTGACCATCGAATTCCAAATTCTCAGAGGGTACGTTTAAAATAGATTTTTTTTTTCAAGTATTGTGTTTTGAGTACCTACATCTGGGTTTTCTTGTATTCATACTGGATTTTTCGTAATTTAAATTAGACATTTAACATAAAATATCTTTGTATTCATAGTTGCCTATTTTTTCTATGTTCTTCAAAACTAGAAATGGTAATTACTGTCTTAGTAGATAAATTGCTCCCTTGTATTGGACAATAATTATTTCTTTTTCTTTTTTTTTTGAGACAGAATCTCACTCTGTCACCCAGGCTGGAGTACAGTGGCACAATCTCAGCTCACTGCGACCTCTGCCTCCCAGGCTCAAGCAATTCTCCTACCTCAGCCTCCCGAGTAGTTGGGATTACAGGCGAGGGTCACCATGCCCAGCTAATTTTTGTATTTTTAGTAGAGATGGGGTTTCACCTCCTAACTTCAAGTGGTTGACCTTCCTTGGCCTCCCAAAGTGTTGGGATTGTGGTCATGAGCCACCACGCTTGGCCACTAATTATTTATTTGAGTAACTATTGTTTGGAAAAATACTACCAGTTATTTCACTGCATTGTCTCCCAGTAAAACTACCCTCTACTCAGCTCAGAAGACAGAACAAATTAAATTCAGATGCTCGGGGATTTTTAAATATTAGTTTAGAATGAAGTGTGTCTGTTAGCATCTACTTCTATTAATCACATTACTGAAACTATAATGAAAGAACTAAAAACTTTTGATGAAAAATGAGCCTGAGCAACATGATTAAACTCTGTCTCTACCAAGAAATACAAAGTTAGCTGGGCATGGTGGTGTGCGCCTATGGTCCCAGAGCCCAGGAGGTGGAGGTTGCAGTGAGCTGAGATCATGCCACTGTACAACACTGCTGCCTGGACAACAGAGTGAGATTGTGTCTCAAAAAAAAAAGAGTAAAATGATCATAGCAATCAGTTTGTTTAATTTATTTAGAAATTAAAATACCATGAGTTTACTCATAAGTATTTACTCATTACTAATGCAGCTACCCTATAATCTGATAAAAGGATCAAAGTAAGTTACAAAGAAGATACTTCCATTTCCAAATTCATTTCTCTGCTGGGCACAGTGGCTCATGTCTATAATCCCAGCACTTTGGGAGGTCAGGGTGGGTAGATCTCCTCAACTTAGGAGTTTGAGACCAGCCTAGGCAACATGGTGGAACCCGTCTCTACCAAAAATACAGAAAATTAGCTGGGTGTGGTGGCACACCTGCGGTCCCAGCTACTCAGGAGACTGGGGTGGGAGGACTCCTTGAGCCTGGGAGGCAGAGGTTGCAGTGAGCTGCGATTGCCCCACTGCACTCCAACCTGGGTGACAGAGTGAGACCCATCTCAAAGAAAATAAATAATAAAAAATAAAGGGCCGGGCACGGTGGCTCACGCCTGTAATCCCAGCACTTTGGGAGGCCGAGGCGGGTGGATCACGAGGTCAAGAGGTCGAGACCATCCTGGTCAACATGGTGAAACCCCGTCTCTACTAAAACTACAAAAAATCAGCTGGGCATGGTGGTTCGTGCCTGTAATCCCAGCGACTCAGGAGGCTGAGGCAGGAGAATTGCCTGAACCCAGGAGGCGGAGGTTGCGGTGAGCCGAGATCGCACCATTGCACTCCAGCCTGAGTAACAAGAGCGAAACTCCATCTCAAAAAAAATAAATAAATAAAAAATAAAAAATAAAAATAATCAGTTTGGCACAGTGGCTCACACCTGTAATCCCAACACTGTGGGAGGTCAAGGCGGGTGGATCATTAGGTCAAGAGACTGAGACCATTCTGGCCAAGATGGTGAAGCCCGGAGGCTGAGGCAGGAGAATCACTTGAACCCAGGAGGCAGAGGTTCCAGTAAGCCAGTATTGCACCACTGTACTTCAGCCTGGATGACAGAACAAGACTTCTCAAAAAAAAAAAAAAAAAAAAAAAAAAAAAAAAATCCCCTACTGTGTCTTAGCCTAGTTCTTACTCCGTTACCTAGATTTCAATAGGTACCTGAACTGATCTCCCTGCCTTCATTTTTTTTTTTTTTTTTTTTG